TAATGAACACATACTAGCATAAAAGTGAATGTGAAATTATGTAGATATATAACATATACACACTATCGAAAGTTAATACTACAATATCAAATTAATATTATTAGTAGTATTTTAAATTTGTGTTACGAAAATAAATTTTCTTTATAATTTAATTTTTCTTTACGAGTTAACTTCGTCGTTTTCTTACGAATAACCTTGATAATGTATCATCATTTCCGTGTTAACTGCCTTTGCGGTAGGTCACAGTTATGTTGTAACGTTAAGTTACAACAGTTTGACGCCTAATGAGACAGTTTAGCAAGCACCATGTGGGGCACTTGGGTCAAGTAGGTGAGGGGATTGTGTCAGACTCAGTTTGTACTTTGGCACCGAAAATCCAAGTGTCGAACTTTTTCAAGGCTTTGATGACACAAAACGCCTCTCTTTCGATGGTTGACCATCATTTTTGACAGGGAGTTAGTTTTTTGCTGAAATGTGCTATGGGCATTTCTTTGCCCTGTTCATCGTTTTTAACTAAACACGCTCCAACTGCAAACGCAAATGCATCTGTATAGATTTGAAAGGGCTGATCGATGTCTGGAGTATACAGGGATGGCATTTTAATCAGCTCTTCTCTAAGTTTGTTGAAAGAGGCTTCTATTTTAGAGTCCCATGGAATATTATTTGGAACTCTATTTTTTTGTAAGATTTGTTAGAGGCAAAACTATTTCAGAAACTTTGGGGTATAATCCCTTAGTAACTTGCTAGTCCTAAAAGACATCTGAATTCCTTTCTAGTAGTAGGTTTAAACATATTCCGGATGACTTCGACTTTCTCAGGATCTGGAGTGAGTGTCAGAACCTATTACGTGACCTAGAAACTTAACGTGACTCCTTCCAAAATCACATTTTCTAGACTTGTGATTAGACATACGTTTCTCAGAGTCTGAAACACTTGGTTGATATATAAGAGAGATGGTCATGCCAGGTGTCAGAAAATAGTGCCACATCATCAATGTATAAACGGCAGTACTTCTTATGGTTTGCAAGTACCTTATCCATAGATTTTTGAAAGGTACTCCCAGCATTTTTCAAACCGAAGAGAACTTTCCGTTGGTAATGGGCAGAATGAGTGACAAATGCTCTGTAAGGTTTAGCTCCTTCTTTCATCGGGATTTGCCAATATCCCTTGGTTAAATCGAGAACTGTTATGAATTTGGTTTTCCCTATTTCGAAAAGTAAATCTTTAGCAGTCTTCGTCGGATAGGCTTTTTAAATATGGTGTGCGCGGTATGGTCGGTATGGTACCGACTGCGCCAGTAGAATTTTCTTATTTATGGTGGATGGCCGAAGAGATTGTAGATACCCCAAATAACAGAAGCCATTAATCCAGACTTTCTTACAAAACGAGCAACGTATTTTATTACAATTTACTAAAGAATTTAAATTGATGGAAAGAGATTAATAACAAATACGGTAAACGGCGCTCACTTCTCATTCCGTTCTCTGCGCTGTCTCTCTATTTTTTTAATTGATAATTTTTTTTCTGATATTGCCATTTTAGAAAACACAACTTTTTCTTTTATTTATAACTGACGATCCTTACAAGTCCCTCCACGGGAAGCACATTCGCCCCCTTAGCGAAAATGCTGCTCAGAATTAAAACAGAGAGAGTCTGATAAATAGAGTAACCCAAAAATAAAACAGTAACACAGCTTCTATTCAAAACAAACACTATCGGAAGTTAGTAATACAATATTAAATTAATACTATTTCAAGTATTTTAAATTTGTGTTGAGAAAATAAGTTTTCTTTATAGTTTAATTCAAGATCGTTAATAATTTTTATAATTTAACTCACGATCTTTTTTTTTCTGATGTTGCCATTCCAGCAGCTTTCTCTTTTATTTATAACTGACGATCCTTCAAATTTCTATAAAAGAATAATGCATTAAATTTGACATGTTTCACAGTAAATTTTAACCATTAGATTACATTATTACACCATGCTGAAAAGCAAGTCATTTGCCAGATCTTGGTTGTAAAAGAGATACACAAAATAATAGATTATTGAAAAGTGAGGTATACCAGTGTTTATAGATATGATTAAATGGAACAGAAAATTTACTGTTAAAACCACATTTTTAAGTGAAATGTATTATTTTAACATTTTACAATATTTAAGATATGTCATTAAATGCAAAACTATGTGCATGACCATGAGTTAGTAAATTTTTTAAAAAATCAAATAGCGACCGTCATGAAAAATTTCAAAACAAGCAGAATTTAATATAGAAGACTTTTATACCTTTATGATAAATAAATTGTAGACCTTCTTCATCCAAATTTAAGTTAGAATTAACTAAAACCAATTTGACTGACCTTCCAAGAACTCCTTCAGCTACGATTTTTTCAAGCTTGAATACCAGATTCTTTCTAACCAGTCTAGATGACATTCTAACCAGTTGATCTCCCTACAGAAAGAGACTACTATTCTATTCTATTAATTCACAATAATAGAATTGTGAATTAATAGAACAGAATAGAAAAATTAACACAAAAGTATAAAACATCATTTAAACTTAAAAGTATTAAAAATTTGGGTTCTTCCTGACTATCTGCAAAGCTGTGAAAATTGGCAAAATGTTTGTTTGGTTAGTTTATGGTTCATATATTTGGGAAATCACGAAAAACAACCATGCAACCAGCACGTTCGCCTGGCATCAAACCCGGTCGAACTTCCGGCATTCAGCTCCCTTAACCACTATGCCACTGGCTGCGTGATAGTGAGAGAGAAACGTACTTATATACTATTGTTGCGTTCTACGGGTTCGTAGATTTGGAGTGATTGACGACAACACTTGATGAAGAATTAAAACACAATTTATTTGTCAGTATTACACAGGAAAGTTCAAAGATACGTTTACAGGCGTCGAAAAACTACCATAAACAGGCTGAAACAATCAGCAACACAGCCTTCAGGCTATCAGGCTATAACGGTGAGGACAGCTTCACAGCAAACTATTAAGTGCAGCTCCCGACTCGGTCGATCGCTCTTAAGCTAATCTCTGAAAGGTCACTACTGCTGAACTCAATACACTCTCTGCTACTCTCAAGATACACTTCACGATTAACTGCTCCTCTGCGTACCGACAGGGTATTTATAGCTTTTGATCTGGATTCGAGAACATTCTCTGGGAAACATATAAGAATTCGTTCTAGAATGTTCTCGCTCCGTCTATGGCATATTGTTAAGTTTGTCGCCAAATGTCCGTTCCTTGCCATTTTCTGCCAACCCAAAACCCGCTTTTCAGAGAAGTTATCTTATCACAGTTGGGCATTTCGTAACAATATTATAAAATCAATGAAACATCATATTCATCCTCATTTCAAAACAGTGTCAGTTTATCGCGTATATAATTCATCGCAAGCTGTTGCCAATAATAAACCCTACATGAGCCATAACGAAAACGTCATAATAACGTCTTTAACATCATAATAACCTTCATTAAGCTTCTTCCGAGGTGTTTAAAAATGGAAGAAAGAAATATTCCTCGCAGTTATAATATCTTTATTTTTTTGCATTGAGTGAAAAAGAATAGGATTAAATAACGGACCACGGCTGTTTATCTTTACTGTTACCTAACCTAAAGTCAATAATGTAGTTAACAAAAATAATAGTTACTTCTACATTTCAAACAAATACTTTGCTAAAAGATGTTCTTTTAATGGTAATAATTAAAGTACGTTTGGAAACGCACTGAAACTTGATGCTGAATGCACATTTCTAATTATTTCAGCTTTTGAGAACATAGATTTTTTTTAATGTTCTGAATAGCTGAAATTTACCAGTCAACGAAATCCTAGGGAAGTGGTATATAATTAATAAACTTGGGTAAATTTTAAATAAAGCTCCATAAGGTATCTTCTCCCTCCTTCCAGCGTGCTTTCGGGGTGTAACGGTTAGCACACTCGGAGCGTATTCAAGAGGACCAGGTTCGAATCCCAGGGAAGGCACTGCTCATTTTTCCCGTCGTTCGTATAAAAAAAAAAACCCCTAATGACTCAGCAGTGGCGCCCGAACTAAAATGTGGTGGACGATAACTCTTCGCCACCAGGCTTTTGCGAGTGGATTCCCTAATCCGCAATCGCTCTTTAAAAAGCATAGAATATAAGGTATTTTTTCCCTCATTCTAACATGCATTCGGGGTGTAACGATAGCCCACTCGGCCCGTATTTGAGAGGTCCAGGTTTTTATGTTCGAGACTCAGCGAGGGCACTGCTCATTATTCACGTCTCCAAAATCAAAAAATCCTAATGACTGTACAGCTCTATATCGATTTCGAGGGCGACTGACACAGAAAGTATTGACATAATATTAGCCCCGCACACAAGATGAAATTAGATTTCTATCAGAATTAGAATATATACATAAAAAAGGCGAATATTTGCTGGGAACGTAAAATTATTGTATTAATTTTTCAAAGATATAAAAATAACCGCATTGTGATTTTTGTTAGATGTTGATTATATATATAAAATGTATGTATCTGCTTGCATATCTATCTGTCAGATATATAATATATAATTCCTTTTTTATTATTTCTATACATGATGAGGCTTTAAGTACAAAAATTTATCCCAATATTGCCAGACAAAGCCCTTAGTTGTCTCACTCTCATTTACACCGTATGTGATATTTCCCATCTTAAATTCGTTACCTGTTAAGTGTATCAAATCTTATTTTCATAAATATCATAACTGCTTTTAAAATACACTTTGCACATACGTAAAGAATTATAGTATTCTTTTGTGCATGTTTTTGAGGGGTAAGTGGTGAGATTGCCAAGCTAGTAACTCAGGCGGTCCGTGTTTCAAATCCCGGCAAGGGCATACTCTGTATGGGTTTTCATCTATAAATGGTGTTTGAGTAATCCTAAGAAACGTTTTCCCTTAATTACAAGTTTCAATAATTATGTGTCGCACAATTCATATATTTAAAGTTCTTTATTTTTGCTTGCAGGTGCTAGACAGTCGAGAGTCTCTCATAACCATTGCCGAGGCTAAGGAGGCCATATTCACCGAAGACTCAGGTGAGTTAGTTATATAAGTAACTTTCTAATCTTTTGATATTTGCTTAACTATACATTTGGTCTCCAGTCTGTTTCGACTACATTAATGTAATTAAAAAAAGACAGCGTTGTTTAAAAAAAATGTGTATGAAATTATTTCAAGGTTAAATTTATAAAGGGAGAATGACATTTTTTTTTCACTTTCTAAAACGGTAATTTATTTTCATTATTAAGAGGAAAAGTTATCTCTTTAAAACTGATTTGAAAGATTAAGGAATAAGACAGCTCACTGACCAAAAAAATATATTAAAATGTTATTTTTATTTTTTAACTATACATCTTGTTTATCACATGAATAAAAATAAAGGCATTTCAAATTATATTGTGATTCCCTTTTTTTCCCTGAAAATATTTTGAAGACCCAGATTTAATTCATGGAGAAAAGGTTTCTATTAACTATAGTATTTATAGTTTCACAGTCTTCAGAGTAAAATGAAATTAGAAAATATTTGGCGCAGTACTGCCCTTTGATCGTTAGTTTATTTTCATTAGATATATTTAAAGGTTTAAATTTATGCAGAACTCATCTGATATTAAGTCCATGAAAACGCACATCAATCTCTGCACTGAGAAAGTAGACTTACCTGTTTTAAAAAACCTGAAGTAAAAGAAAACAGATGGGCCGTTGTGTGTATGTTTTATGGTTTCTAGCGTTAATATCTTTTATCTCATCTTGTAGATCAACTCTTCTTCCTCGAATGCCAATGAAAGATGAACTCAAGTTGTAAACAAAATGACATGTATAGTTAAAAAGGAAAAATAAAATTTCTAGAATAGGAAGTTCAAAAGTTTTATCTATTGCTTTGTCTTTATTTAATTGTAACAAAATATCGATACAAATTTGCATCATTAATTAATTTATAACAAGAAATCAAAACACTGAGGATACTTTAATTCCTTATATTCTTGCTGCATGTAAAATGCGCAGCTAAATATTAGAAAAAAAGTATTAATTATTACAGGAACAATGAAATTTTACAATTTAAATGAAAGCAGGTTCCAAAAATAACGCTGCGTATTTTCAACATTGCATAATTGCTAATTTCAAATTCCTAACGAGACGAAATCGTATTCTGTTTTCTTATTAAAAGTAATTCTTTATTACAATGGTAGCCGAATAGTGGCTTTTGGCAAGGTTAACAAAATGTTACAGAGTGCGACATTTTCACGTTTTTTCTGATAATGCACAATGTACAGAAGCACTGATGGCGAATTTCGAAAACTGCTTTCGTGAATTTGTTGCTAAAAGTAGATGTCCCTGGTGTTCAAATTAACTGCATTGCAATTTAAAGATGTAAACATTTTGCTGACAAATGTATTCAAAATGGCATCTGTTATTTTTTTTTTTTTTTTTTTTTTTTTTTTTATTATTATCTTGCACTTGAATCTAGTTTCAGAAGAAAACATCGCGGGAAAAAAAGTCGTGAAGAAAACTACGCAAGGCGAAAACGTCGTCATACAAAGCACCCTGAGAAAAAACACAGCAAGGAGAAAACATCGCAATTCTAAAACATCGTAGTACAAAACATCGTTGTCCAAAATAAAGCGGTTCAAGAATTTCGCAGTTTAAAAAGACGTTGTCGAAAATATCGTGGTAAAAAAGCACCCGCAAAATCATCGTATGACAATAACATGGCAAAAATATGTTTTTCAGGCTTTAAAAGTTGTAAAAGCATAATTGCACATTGATGTGGATGATGAAAAAAGATGAGGATTTTTTTTTAATTTTTGATTTAACTAATTATTTGAATTAACCTAAATTTTTGCTGAAAAATTAAGGAGGAAATTTAAGCATTCAGAAACTGAAAATGACTAGAAAACTAATACTACTTATAGCAGTAGACATAATTTTATTATTTGAAAATTAATTAAACAATTTTAATAGTTGTAACCACATGCAGTTATTTATCTTTTTTTTCCTAATCTTTTTTAGACTATGTTTTGCATGAAAAATGCCAATAAAACTTAACAAAAGAGATTATTTAATTAATATCTTTATTAGTTAACTATGTTAGTTTAAAATTGTCTTAACTGCTATACCTAGCCTTATTTTTTAATATCTTTCTTATTTTTTCAGCAAGAATTTTTAGTTAATTCAAAAACATGAAATATAAAAATAAAAATATTCATCATTGCTTCTTTATCTCACAAATCACTATGCGAATATGCATTTACAACTTTTAAATCCTGATAAACGTGCGTCTGCGATCGTAATGTAATGATTTATATGTGTTTTATTTTTTTACTACGATATTTTCAACAACGATCTTTTTAAACTGCAGAAATTTTAACCACTTTATTTTCGACGACTATATTTTGTACCACGGTGTTTTAGAGCCGCGATGTTTTCTCCCACGATGTTTTGTAGGACAACGTTTTCTCCGCGATGTTTTCGGCGGGCACCTTGAATCGGAGTATTTCTCTTAGCAAAACAGTTCATAAAAATAATTTTATGTTAATCATGTTAACTAGTTTGAAATAATTTCGATTTTTTACTCCACGGTGTATTCAAAAATATAGGTAAAATAAAACATATTATGTCGCTCACGTTACGAAGTGCATCTTATATTGGCCCTCGTGTGAACAGAAGTTGGCTCTCAATGATTTGCAACATTAATGCTAATTCAAATCAATACGTTTCCGGATTTTTATTTCTAGGAATTTTAATCTGTGAACCTAAAATGTAAATCAAAGAAAATTAAAACTAGAGGCCGTTAAGGTACTAGGTAACATGCAGGGTACAGAAATTCTGTTCAGATCTTTTCGGCATACATTTTCTCTTACTAAAAATTAATAAAACCGATTAGAAGAATAACCTACTGTACTTATGATTCTGGTAATGATAAACACATTTACCGATGGCGTGCATATACTAATAAAGTATAATGATTTAAGAAATAATTTGTCTATAACTGATGTTCTGCGATAACATAACCTGCATTAGACTTGAAGAACGCCAATAAAGAAAATGAGAAAATACTTCCAAAATGAAGTTAATAAAAGTGTTGCATTTAATAGAATTACTTGGTTTAAATCGGGATCTAACTGAAGTTTGCCTGTTAAAATTTCTGAATTTTTTACTTGTTCCCTTTTGTCCTATTTCTTCTCTGAAAATATAAATTGTTAAGGGCTTCAGTAAAATTCAGTTTTCAGTTCTAATGGAACACAAAATTTCCTACTATTTAACTAACTATAAAATGCACTTATCTTGTCTTTTTGTAGTATTATAATGATAAAAGGGATTCATTAATAATTTACTATTAAGTTTAAGAACAAAGAAACCGTAATCACAAACCAAGTCTGTCGTTTAAAACAAAATTCGGCCTCTCATTTAAAATTTTGGTCATTTACGTTCTTTGGGGCTAACAAAGTCTCACTTCATTTTAACGTAATGTCTTTTCTGTCTCAATTTTGACGAGAATTTTTACGATGAAGCAGAAGTTTAACTTGCGGACATTACACTTTTTAAAGCGAGAGAAATCTTAATTGAAACTGCAGCGTTTCATTATAAGGGCAGAAAAAAATATAATTGAGGAAAGGAAATTATTTGATGTTCAATCGATACTCAAGCAGTTTTAACAATCTGAGCGAGAACCAAAGCGAGGAAGAAAAAATAATGAATTCTCAAATTTGAAGACAAAATAAATCCATTTGACGATAAAATCGCGAATTGTTAGTACATGGGTTTTAATATATTTTGCAATAATGTTTTAAAGATTAAATAAATTGAGTTACTGAGCTCAAGATTATATCTACAATATATTGCTAATTTGTATTTCTTTCTTTCAACCACAGCTGATTTCCTTTTCTTAAACCATATTTTAAGTTTTCTCAATCATACTTGCAGATTAGATAATATTTTTAACATTACTTCTGTTCCAGGTTTTAAATTGCTTTGATGTAATACTTCAGAAATATTTAAATGCATGTTATTTGTTGTAAAAAAAGAAAGCCGAAACATGAATTTCAAATAATAAGAAATTTAACTTGTTGAGAATTTTCCAAAGAGATGACGTATTAATGAATTCAGAATAGCAGAAAGTAGCAATTGTACTAGCTCATGCAAACTACAAAATGGTTTTTTAAAATATAAAATTCGTAAGCAGAAACGGAACGTAAATGCTTTAAACTCCTTGGGATAACCGTAAGCTATTAATAGAATTGAGAGTGATATAAATAAAAAGAAAACATGCCAGCAATAACGTTGTTGCGCGGATATAGGAAAACGTAAAAAAAAGTTAAAATCATATATATAAATATTTTTCGTAAAATCAATCTGGTTTTTGATTTAATGCAATTTAATAAATTTATGAAGTAGCGAAAGGCGCACCCAGTAGAATGTTAAATCCAAGATCAAGGGAGAGAGTACTCGTCGCAAGGTCAAATATTATTCGAAGCTGTCTACTTTCCGAAGTTGTTTTTTTCCCAAAGCAAAAGACGTTTCAGTAGCATTCACTAAAGCAGAAAGTCATGGGTAAATCTGACATGTCCAACCGCAGTAAGATAGCTTCCTCACAAAGCAAGTTTAGGATCGCCAAAAAATATCAAGGGGAGGCCGGGTTGCCATATTTGGAGAGAAATCACCCATTTGGCGACAAAATTGGCGCTATGCGATTGACGGATGGACAACCTTCTGGAACGAATTCTTACCGGTTTGGCACACAATGTTCTCTAACGCAAGCCAAAAGCTATATAAATCCTGCTCGTACGCGGAGAGTCAGCGCGTAGTCTAGCGAGTTTAGTGTGTCTCGTCAGAATCGCTTACTCGATCGCGAGTCTATCGAGTGTCTCGTAGTCTATCGAGTTTTATCGTCAGTTCCCTGTCCAGTTGGGGTGCATCTGGTACTTTGCCGTGAACCTGTCTTCACCGTTATAGCCTGATAGCCTGAAGCCTGTGTTGCTGATTGTTTCAGCATGTTTGTCGTAGTTTTTCGACGCCTGTAAACGTTTCTTTGAACTTT